TTTTCTGGAGAAAGGTTGTAAGCCATAATAAGACAGGGATATAAAGATGCAAAATCCAATCCTGTAACAGGCCTCTTTATCTCAATTCCTTTTTTAGGTGGAAATACATATACACCAGGATACTTACCTTTTTCTATATTTAGTGGTATAAGCCCCCAGAAGATTTCGTACCTTCATTCCATTTGCCTGATAATGTGAATCAAACAAAGATACATAGGCTATAGAAGCAACCTCCCTATAGTTATTAATTACATTTCGCTTAACCATAAGCTCCTGGCAACACAATGCATCTATAATACAATAATATGCTACTTTATGCATTTTTTCTATAGTAGAATGCGATTTATTTGAGAAAATACTCTCTTTTGCTTCTGAGTAAAATTTCTATATTTTATTATATGGCATATCCGCTTTACCAGCCAATCCACATATTTTTAAGTAAAATGCAAGTGAACTTTTCCTATCAACCTCCGCACAAGGGTAAAGTTTCTTAAAACATGCACGTATATCAATTGGTACACATCCTGGTACTTTAAGAAATAATTATCCTCTGGACTAATCTTGATTATAACTGGCTGTACCCTATCGTTTTCTTCCTCACTATTATCAATAGCATCTTTTTTAATTTGAAAACTATTTTTAGATTTTGCCTCTATTTTCTTGTAATAATTCCATTTTAGGATTTCTTCCTTCAATTTAAATCTTCCTGTCATCTGTTGTCACATCCATTTGAGAATATTAAGTCTATAAGCTCTTTCCATAATAAATGGCCAATCATATTCGGAATCGCTAAATCTGAGTTGAATATCAGGGATGAAGGCTTTCCAGCATAATGCGAATGCTTTCAGTAAATTTGTCTGGTTCCCACATACAACTGTTATTCATCGTGGGTCTGGTGCAGTTTCAAGATCGACAAGACAGATTTGTTTTAATAGTCTTGGATCGTCTTTTCAGTGCAAGGTTATACAAATCATGAATATGATACTTTCTTCATCGTGTATTTCTGCAAATTCGCCCAACTCTCGTGATTGTGTCTCTATATCCCATATAAGAATAAGCGTACGATCTCTCATGAGTGCTGAAATTGGAAAACGATCACTTATCATTTTTAGATCTTCTACTAGATGAAAATCGTTTATAGAAACCTGAAAATTGTGTGTATAATGGAAATGTTTTTTGTATCTATACTTACTTATCATAGACCAACCAGAAATTGCAATTCTATTTTCTCTAGCTATTTTACGATGGAATGAAAACATATCATCTGAGGCAGTTTCGAAATTTTTATCTTGGATAGCTTGGAGGGCTTTTTTTCTATCTCTAGTACTAAATGTAAAAATACGTAGATATAACTTTTTTTCTGTATTATACTCCAGTAATGGGAAGGCTTCGATTTGTTCTATTTTATAGGCATTTATTGTATTACAAAGAATTTTGTCTATTTTTATC